GCCAAGAACATACCTAGAGAAAAACAAAAAGTGAGTAATTAAAATACAATTTGAAATTAATTCATTGCCTACAGAAAAATTATTTATTGCCATCTCCAGAACAATCAGTATATGGAATCTATGTTACAGCAAAACATTATAGAAGTTATTACATTTTATTGAAGGCTGTTCTTAACGTGAAAGCATCTTCCTTATCTTGAAATTCTATCTCAGAGAACGGAAATAAGTAAAAGAAAGTAGACTGTTTGTGGCCCAGAAGATCAAGCCTGTCTAAGCTTTCAGTGGTTCCTAAAGCAGCCGAAAAAGGGAAGTTTATGTCTTAGAAAGAATTAATTCTTGAAGCTGAGCCTGTCTTTGAAGGACAACATTGGCCTTATTTCTGCAAATCAGTGATTTTTTTATCAGATCTACATTGTATCAGCACAATCTCTCTCAGATGTATCACTCTTTAAAGTTTTGTCACACAACTCATTTGCACCTTGGAGAGTCACTAGCTTTTAATAGACAGAAATGTAAATATTCACCAAGATCCTAACAAAAGTAAATAAAAATCTCTCCCCTTTCACATAGTTTTCACTTTTATTACTTAAAGATATCTGTGGTTAGTTTGTACTTAACACTAAACATCCCTCTTTTATATTTATACATGTTAATTGAATGTGCCAAACAGTTCCTTTATGTCTTTTGATGTGGAAAACAACAGTGAATCTAATGGGAGAGATAAAAATCTTATATGCAACATTTCATATATTATACACTATAATGTATGAAGATCTAAATCAACACGTAAGTCATGAAACAGAAACTTTCGTGTTCAGTATCTTAACATTCTTGAAACAAATGTTTCCACTAGTTCTTTCTTGAAAGGGAATTGCTCTTACCTACTATGGAGAGAATCACAACCACAAAATCAAAAATATTCCAGCCTATAGTGAAGTAGTAATGGCGAAGTGAAATCAATTTCAGGACAAATTCTCCAGTGAAAAGGATAATGAACACCAGGTTAATCCGGGATAAAATTGTTTCCATTTCTTTACTCTGGTCATCTGTTTCTACCATCATTGTGACCATGTTAAGGCAGATCAATATCATGATGCTGATGTCAAATACTTGTTTGGTTACAAAATCAAATATCATGCCTTGGAATTTGTTCTGCAAAAACAAAGATGGAATACAGTTTATACTCTGAAAATATTTGTCTTTTAAAATGCCAAATGCGAAAGCAACTCCCTTCAAGATTTAGGAGTGCAGAGCAAGACTCATTCACAACACAGGTGTTAGTATTTGCTCAACCAATGCTGTTTTGTGTCTCATCCTGTTAGAGTGAATCAAGATGTTCCCCACTGTTGGCTGAAGAGATGGGAAGAGAAACAATGCATTAATAAGAGTAATAACAATGACAATTGATACTATTGATGTGAAAAAAGGTGGTATAACTTAGTACCCTTCAAGAGTACCAGTGAAATAGAAACTAATTTTCTTATCTTTATTCTCAGCTGGATTTAGAATGCTAACTCCCAGAGATGTCTCTCTTCCTTAAACCCATTGGCTTGGTGAGAATGTTGTACCGCTGAAGCTACATGTCTCAAACACACCATGCTTGCAATATCCTAGTTTTTCTTTAGTACTTAGCTCAATGTTTATTGCCATATGTCTCTCCTAAGAAAGGCTATTTTTAACCACTTGGTGCATAAGGTGCAACAAGTATTTTATTTTTTCCAAACACTGTAGGATTTCAGTACATAACAAGAGTACTGTCTTATCTTAAAGACAAATGTATCCTAGTTTACGCTTTACTCTCTAGGGCATTCTTTTATTCTGTAACATTTTCTGCATCTGTCTTTCCCTTTCACATGAGGTGACCATTGCCCTTTCTGTCTTCAGCAGCAAAGACCAGTTTAGCCCCATTTCCTACGAATTCTCTGTAAGGAGAAAAAACAAAACATGAGGTTTTTCCCTGGTAACAAGAACAAATAAATGATCCGATCAACTGTGTTTCTAGGACTTTGTCAGGGAATTCTGGAATTTATCACATTAACCTTATTGAATCCTACAGTTCAAACTTCAGAGTGTATGTTTTTAAATTAGATGTGAGTGATCTATCTGGTGGATTCAAAAGGGGACAAATTCTACCTTTACAAGAAAATAAATGGAAAAAATATTTTCTTTCCAGACAGATAACTTTCTCTTATGGCTGGTATCATATTCCCAAATGAGTATTTAATATTAAGGCTATAAAAACAAATCACTCTTACCACTGGCCTCGGTATAGGTTTCTGTGGCTTTTTGGATCCCAGTTTTTTCATTGCATTGTAATATTTCTTCTGTTCTTCTGTCATAAATATATCCTGACCTCCAAAGTAAAGAAATAATATAAAAAACAATTACTATCATGTCCACACATAGAACATTTAACTACAGTATGTCTCTCTGTAATATATTACATTTATATTGGATGTATATTAAAAACTTTTTTCAGTTATTTATAGTGTGAATATTCATATACTTTCCTAAATCACAGAAATATTATTTTTAAAGAGATATTTTTATACAACATCTTTAAATAACTTCTGATTTTTATTAGCCTTCCATAAATAAGTTATTGATTCATTATCACAAATAATTTGTAGCACTGTGGAAACATTTTTAATACTTATCTTCTTTTTTTGTTGGTTGAAGTTGTCTATAATGACACCAATGAACAGGTTCAAGGTAAAGAATGATCCAAATATGATAAAGATGACAAAATAGAGGTACATATACAAGTTGTCCTCATATTTAGGTTGGTCTTCTACCTACAAAATATTTTAAATTTTATTCTCCATGATAATAGTAGATATTAAAAAAAATATGTAATTTATGAATAGGTATATGCTATCTCAGCTAGAAAAGCTATAAACAGCACTAATTTATTAAAAAGATCCTACATGTCTTTAAAAATGGGAAATGCGAAAGCAACTCCCATTCCAATCAATATCTGGAGAACTGGAAGCTGACAGAATGATTGCTCATATGGAATTTTAAAGTAAATGTGCACACAGATATGTTTGCATATGTAGATATATAAACAGTTCCTCATATAGAAGGAAGAAGTTAAGTGGGACTGAGAGCAGTCATTAGTACTTCAAATTATAACAGCAGAAGTCTAAATATTTTATGTTGTGTTCAGTATATTTTCATGTAACAGAATCAATTAATTTTACTATCGTCTAAATCTCCCTGGAACTCTTTTGGTCCTACATGAGCATTTGTACATCCAGCTAATAACAGATGCTTTCAATAAATTTCTAGTGAATATATGTTTTGTGAAACCCATTAAATTGAGGCAAATTACTATGAAGAGTTTCTTGTCTCTATTCTTCTAGATTCCACATTTCAACACCTGCAGCTCAATGAGCTGGAGTGTGGAAATGCTGAAGTTAATGAGACAGGATATTTTACTCTGGGAGACAATATCACTAACATGATTATTTGCATAAGTTAAGCATAGTTTTAGTTTCATAGTCGAGATAAAATTCTAATCCCCAGAAAACTTAACAGATTAACTTCAACCTTAAAATCTAATTGCACTTAAATAGCTAGATAATATAAGTGCTCAACCTAAACAAACAATGCAATGCACGTTTACAAGTTATAAAACAAGATTGGTACATGCAAAAAAATATGTATTGGTGCTGATTGTAATTCTCAATTCTATGATGTTTAAATAGCATTAGGTGTTTAAATAGCTGTTTAAATTTTATACTCTATATCAGAAGTCTTACATCTCGTGAATCAACAGCAGCATACATAATATCCATCCATCCTTTGAAAGTAGCCTAGAAATAAAACACAGCTGTTTATCTTCCCTGTAAAAAATTATAATGTGGAAAATATCAAGGTTATTTATTTATTTGACACTTGACTTTTAATAAAATAATTTCTAAATTTATAAATCACACCTAACCACCCAGACATAATATTTTTCACAGTAATACTAGGTTTTTTGAGAATTTATTTTTAGGTGTTCAAAACATATTAAAAACCAGGCTGTGAAGGTCTCAGCAAGGCCACAGTGTGTTTGGAGCTGCAGAGGTTTACTTTGCAGGTGAAGAATGATAGACTTAGATTGACATTAATGCTGGAGAAGTTTACATAAAATCTACTAGAATCACTCATAGCTGCAGCCATTTCATCAAGTTTACAGCATGAATTGATGGAATCAGCAATACAACTTCTGGACAGATACCAACATACATCTGAATGTTTTTTCTGTGGCTAAACTGACACAGTATTTGGTATTTTTTAGAAATGCTTTAATCCCTCATAGCTAAAAGAAAGACTGTTCAAAGTAAAAATATACATTGGTTCTTCAGAGATTTGATTCACAGAAGACCAAAACGTGAACTGTGAAACAGCTGTGATTAACATCTATAAAACTTTGACTGAGTTCCTATAGAGATGCAACTATGTAGAGTAAAGGGTAAAAAGTGTTTGCCATCATTGCTCTAAGAAGGTGATTTTCATGGATGCAGAATGTTCACTTCCTAAGGAACACCAAAGGATTGGTGTGACATGCTAGTAAGAAGTGTGAGAGTACAATCATTATTCAGGGTTTCCAAGCTTATTCATAATAAAAGAAAAAAAGAGCTACAAAGCCCGAGAAATGAACAGAAAAAGAGCATCACTCCTGAGGAGATTCAGGAAAGGAACCATCTCGAGGAGTATATTTGCATCTCTTCTTGCCAGAAGTAGCTCTTGTACTCTGGTACAGCTGATAGTTTTCTCAGCAGAAAACTTGCACTCTGGAAGTGTTCATGTCCTCCTGAATCTTACAGTACAATACAAATTCACTAAGAAGGATGCTTGGAGCTAGGCTTCACAGACCTTTCTGGCTCAGTTGACAATTGACAACCAATTGGTGCACTTTGCATAGCAAAAGTAGAAGAGGAGCAGAATTTGGTAAGAGTATACAGGAGAATACAGGAGAAGAGCGGGGAGAGAACATTAATGTAGACAATCAGATGAGGAGGTGACATGATACATGCTCAAGCATCCCTTAATCTTTGCAGGACAAATAAAGGTTGGAGGGAATATTTGAAAAGGAAAATTATGAAAAATCATAACAACAACCAACCAAAGGAAACAGAAGAATGAAAGGTTCACAGTAGTGAAGCAGACTGTCTGGATATGTGACATGGATAAAATTCAGACAGAGCCTCAATAGACTAGAAGTTTTCCTTATATGCCCTCAGAAGCAAGTATTGGTAATAAAATGGGTCACTTCAATCTCCAGTACAACAGTAGCAATGAGATCTGAAGTCAGAGAATTAGAGTCATCATTCAGTACTACTACTCAGCACATAAGAGTCACACAGCCTTTAGAGGGGAAACATTTTAAGCCAGGTAGGTAATTTGGGAATTAAGGTCAACTAGGGACACTGACCTGCTCTGAGACAAAAGGGACAAGCATATAATTCTTAGATAGCTGTGAATATCAAAGCAGTAACAATCTCATGGCATTTCTGACATCTTTTCATACAATGAAACTTTATGTCGAGTTACAGACAAGTGATTCTACAGAGTTCAATCATCTAAACATAATTACATGCTTTCTTTCTTGTGTTTTGGGTCAAATCCAGCTATCAGAGGCTCCATTCTAAGCCAAGAAGCCTGTAAAGAGCTAAGGCCTTTATTTCTGTAACATAAATAAAATATGCTTAGTACCTAGAACAAAGGTGGTTCTGTTCACAGTGCATAGGAAAAGCACTTGAAGGGGAAATACTATTTACAGATTTTTAATAAGAAGCAGCAATTAATGGAATAAATATGCCATGCAATACAATAACATCTAATACTTCACAAGGATTATACTCTAAGTAGCATAATACCTATTTACTATACTATACTGACTCTTTAATAAGCATTAAGGAATATGATAGTTTTTAAATAATGAGTACTTTTGTGCTAGTAATATTTTATATTTTCCTATTTTACCCACAGTTTAATGCCTTTTAGCTTCATGTGCTTCTTAATGAAATATATTTATTTTAGTAGCAAGTGCTGTTTATCTGCAAATATACAGAGAAAGTGTTATATGATTAATCAGACGTAATAATTAGGATCAGTCTATCAGAAACTATCACATATTCTTCCCATGGGCAGCTCCTACTTCTCTCAGAGGATTTCAGATCTCTTAGACAAGTATTGTGATAATAGAGAAAGAACTGGCTCCATGCTACAAGAAACATTGCATTCCTCAGTCTCAGATCTTGCATTGTTTGTGATTCCTTTCCCTGAACCCATTTCCAGGTCTGAAAAACCAAGCCACTACTAAACAAATGCCTGAACTGGAGACATACACTGATATAATTTTGGTTTTACCATCTGTGTAATGAAAACTAGGAACAGATTGTGTAGGAGGCATGGGCAGATAGGATGTCTGCCCTCCTGGCTTACAAGGCAACAGAGCTCATAAAGAAGGAGAGAAACCTTTTAAATAATTAGAGGGACCTCTGAGCCTCATCCACCATGGCAAGACTCGTGAAATGTGTTCCTCAGGTTTATATTGTGCACCACTAAGAAGACTCCTGTATGTTTTTCACTTACTGTTGTAACATTATTATCATCAATGTAAGACTGTATTCCCTAGCCTTGGAATGGAAAATTGTTACCATTAATACAAAAATGACAAGAAACAATAGAATTGTGTAAGCTGTACATCATTGCTATGAAGAAATTATTCCACCACTTAACAGTCATAACCTGCCCATTTTTGCTAGATTTCTTTAAAAAAGGGAAAAAGAAAATACATAAATTTACTTACTACTTGAAGCAGAGCAAGATATCCAGCTCCTACATTATCGAAGTTTACTTTCACATTTTTCCATCGGGCACTTTGATTGCTTTTTATGAGCTCCTCACACTGAGTATAGTTGTTGACATCACTGACATCAAACATCACACCAGTTGTGGTGTTGACACAGTGATAGAATTTCCCAGCAAACAGATTTACTCCCATGATGCTGAAGATAAGCCAGAATATAAGACATACCAGCAATACATTCATGATAGATGGGATTGCTCCTACAAGGGCATTTACAACCACCTAGTGTACAAATTAGACAAAATAGCCACTTAGTTTATGAAGAAAAAAGTACTTTTTAATACTTCAAAAATGTTAAAACAGTATTACTATGGGATAGACAGTTCAAATATTACACTAAAATTTATAGGGAAAACATTAATTAAGGTTTAATAAAATGCTAATGAGATTGCCAAAAGCAAGAAATAAAATAACATGGAAACCAAGACAATGCAAAAGTCTGAAAAAAAAATCAAAAGGCAAAAGAAAACCTGTTAGTAGCAAGATGGATTCTTAGAATTTGTGTGCTCTAGAGAAAAAGAGAGAAATAAATGTTAAATTCCAACAATATAAATCAAAATCTATAAATAGAAAATAAACTAGAAAAAGATCAAAGAATGATGATGTGGAAGACTGAATTAAAATGTCTGCATGTAAAACTATCATAATTAATGGTTTTATTCTGAGAAACTTTATGTATCTATTGACACCAGTATATTTTAGCATCCATGCACAACATAACATAATTAAGGATATCTTATTTAGTTTCTATTAACAGTATCTGGTCTATGTCTTGGGTTTAAATTGCCTGGGTCACTCGGGTAGGCCTTAACCTTTTTTTTCTTTGTAATTGGCTGCAAGTATGAGCAAGTGGCAGTAAAAAAACAGCTGAAATCCCTCGACAAAAATTTTCTTTTACTTATTGTGATTGAACTAATAAAAAAGCTGTAGATATTCAGAGAATAATTTTTCTATCAAATCAGCAGAGACTGCAGTCTATTTTTGGATACTGGTATGGTTTTGAAAATAGAAGGTTTTTTTTTATTTCACTAAGTTGTCTGAAACCATCAGTATTGGGTTTGCCTATCTATTAGATAGGGCTTATGTGTTGTTTGGAATGCAAATGATGTAAAATATAGTGGAGATGGCAATGTGCCACAGGACACACTGCCCTACACTGTCTGGCATGGCCACCTGTAGAGTAGCAGCAGCCTTGACCCAGACAGGAACCACACCATTTGGAAACTGAAGACCTATGACCAAACTATAAATGTGTATTCCAGGACTGGGGTATTTTGAGGTGAAAGATTAAAAGGAGAAATCTTAATAACTTTTCCTTGTTAATATTTTATGCATCAATTTTTTTCCAGGAAATAGCATAGTCTGCATTTTCAGCAGACAACTTATAACAGGGTTTTTTTTTTAAGGTGGCTTTTTTCTTTTTTTTTTTTTTTCCAGAAATGAAAATAATATTTTCCTCAACAGGAAGGTTTTAACTGTCTAGAAGGAGATGTAAAATTACAGCAGAGGCATTCATATGAAGTAAAGGGATATCTCTCCCCTTCTATACTTCCAACCCAATCCTTATTTTAGCTGTCTGTTCAGAAAACCTTTCTCTAATACTACAGCATGTACTGTGGGATTTTTTTTTTCCCCAGGCAGGTAGACAGGGAGCCACAGTGAGGCTTTAGTTTCTGATGTGTCACTGCTGTCAGCTTCTTCATCTTGTTTCGTTTCGTTTTCTGGCTAATCCTGTTCCACCCTGAACCACTGACAATCTAACAGAGAATAGAAGTTAGCTACGGAAATTTATAAAATAATGTTTGAAGCTAAACTGCAGAAAAACCGCCAATCCTCACTTCTAAAATTTAGCATGTCCTTATACATTTCTAGGTCCAAAAATCAATGTAAATGTTAACAGTCAGGGGGCTGGGATAACACAAGTATGCAGCAGTGAGCAGGCAAATTTCATGAGCTTAAGGTCTAATCCTCAAATGTAAGCTGTACACATCTTGTTTGTAAGGACATGTCGGAAGGCTTTTTTCCACGTGTTTTTGCTTTCTGGACTTCTTTGTAGAAGACATAAGTGTCACCATTAATGCATTAATTTTTGTATGCATACAATTGTTTAGACTCATTTATTTTATCTCACCCTCATTCCTTCAAATCGTGACAAGGCTCTTAAAGGTCTTAAAGCTCTTAATGTCCGTAGCGATTTAATGGCACCGAGTTCAGAATAGCCCAAAGCATTGGCTACTAAACTAACCAATGAGACCTATAAAATACAGAAAAAGAATTATTGTACAAATTATTCTACACTTTTATTTAAAAATAATACAGATTCAATTAATAAATCAACAGTGACAAATTGAAGAATGCCACAATTTTCACACCCACTAGAAAGGCAAGAGGTCTCATAAAGGCATGGCTGAAAAAGGAACATAGCTATTAAATGTCTATTATAGTTGGATAGGGTTTAATAGTCATATGGAAGCACATTCTTGGTGTAACACACTGTTGGACAAGGATAAAGCTTTCAAGACTATTTAAAGAAAAAATTGCCATACTTTCCACAACTTCATTACTGTTTGACACTCCAAATAATTTTAAATGCTGAATACATTAGGATATCTTATTAACTACTGACAATATTATCAATATCTATAATCACAAATAATATACTAATAATAGTGGTTAAATATATTTATTTGTTATAAATTTTACTTCCGATTCAAAGACTCAGTTCATAGCAACAATAACCAGGCTATCTCTGAAACATATATTGAAAGAGGTGGTACTTTCTCACTTGCCTGACAAGTCTCCTTTTTTTTAATCTTCTAAGTATAGAAAAATATTATGGGATAGATATTAACAGGTGCTAGCCTTATAAGAGTGAGAGCTGTATTATCTACAACAGTAGTGAGCTCCTGATGCATGTTATTGGGATTTTATTATAAGATAATCCACCCAAGAAAGGAACAATTAATTTGCTTCTGAAATGGAACTAAGCTTTAAACAGTGTTAATGTGAAAGAAATTAATTTACTTGCTTTGAACAGTTTTGGAGACAGGAGTGGGGAAATATACCTTACTCAGTTCTACCATGCAAAGCATAGAAGACACATAAATGAACATAGATATATTTCAGTCCTTGAGAAAATCTCTCAAATGATCATTTCTGTGTCTCAGTATAAGAGCTCTTCAAATAATTGGCTGTACAGAAATAGGCATTCGCTGATAATGGTGGTAAGATCTTGCCCATTATATGAAAAGGTGGTTTCCTATGTTACTTATATCCCTAAAGAACAAACATGACAGTTACAAGGTGATGTCTCAAAAGGACAATCTGAGAGCAAATACAAATCAATTATTCATTACTATGTTGCTATGTACATAATCTAACAGAAAATAGTATTTTAGTGAATTCATATCACTGTACATTTCAACTGGATTACATGTCAGGATGTAATTCTTTTTATCAGAGGAAAGGATTATTTTATTGCTGTAATAGATATTTTTGTAAAGAAACTTGCTGTGATTTCTAAGTATATTAAGAAGAAAATCTTACTGATTTTCTGTAGTCTGTAACTGAAGTCTGTTCACTTGCAAGAGATAACATTATTGTTTCTGCCATTATGTTAGCTATTGTCATTAATTGTTATTAATAATTGTCATTAATACAATTTATTTGTCCTGTGATTCTACAGTGAGTTCTTTTTTATCCTTACTATCCTTAATATATTCCACAGGTAGCAAGACATAGAATTTGCTGTATTTTTAAATGAATATCCATTGATTCACTCACATTAACAAGATATCCAGACATGGCAATAAACTTTAGTGTAAAGACAGTGCATTGTGAAAATTAAAAGTAAACTATGACACAAGTTTTTTTAAAAAAACATCTCTCTCACTGGGAGAGCAAGACATCTCTTTTTAAATTGAGCTCACATTAAAGCCTCCTTCATTTTATGCTTTTCTTCCCAAACCAGCACTGTGCCTTACCTATCTTTTGCAAATAAGACCCTCCCAAGCTAGAGAGTGGTAGCTCCTGTGAGTATTGGCAATTCTTATGTTCTGATTGTCAGGCATTCTTCAGTCTTGCCTGTGCTTTCCATTTCAACCTATCAGCAGCTTTTCTTACCATGGTGCTCACGCTCTTACACCATAGGCAGATGTACAAAGAGTCATCTGACAGAGCTGAAAATTACCACTTCTTAGTGTCAGTGAGTGCAACTATAGCTACTTCTCACAGTAAGAGACTGAGGTATGTAAGGTATTAAATGTCAAAGCCCTAAATGACCGTCAGTGTTTACTCTTGAATAATTTTAGAGAATGGAATTAAACAATTTGATTAACTTTAGTCACTTCTAATGAAGAAAGAGACACTGGTGTCCTCACTGGCAAAATGCCACTGAATCACACCTCTTTAAACTGTCTGTTAATGCAGTGGAGATACTCTGCTTTTCTATATGAAGATAACATGAGCTCACATGTTTCTTTCAAGTGCTCTCTGGTGGTGCTAAAGAAATTGCTGAACTAGCCTTCAGCCTAGTAACACATACTTTACTACTTTCTGGAATGTAAAATTTAATTCTTCGAAAGTAGAAGGTTCCAATTTCGTTTAGTCATGCTTTTGATTATAAAATTTAAAATAATGGGTAAAAAGTGAGCAATATAAGCTGTTTTATTTATCACGATGTACTTTATAAGTGAGAGCCTGACTGGATAGCAGCATCTGAAGCTAAACTAAGAAATCAGAGTATGGTTTAGAATCTCTTTAGGTTTAAGTTAGAAAAAGAATAATTAAAACATGATTTGTAGTTTATCTAAAGAAAAACCCATTTTTAACATAGTCCTGAAACGGAGCATCTCTTCTTCATTAACATCCTCTTAAGAAAACCATTCACACTGCTCTATTCTAGTGTAGATTTTCAGGATAGAGCTAAAGGTTAACAGTATGACAAAACTAATTTGGGCAGGTAGAAAAAAAAGGTCTTCCATCTTGAGTTATGACCCAATCTAGCTAGGGTTTGGGGTTTCTTTTTGTGGGAGCTACAAATCTGATACATTTCTATTATATATTTATAAGGAATAAGTATTGATGGGACCAGGATTTATGGAAACCTTTCAAGAAATATAGTAGCATGGGTAGAAATTGCTATAAATGCACAATTGCCATGTCTCAATTCCATACTGAGGACATGTATAACCAATGAACTGGGTCAGATAACGCACAAAGGCAAGAGACCAAAATATTCTGAGAGCAAACCCAACTTTGATCCATTCTGACAACATAAGCCAGGCCTTTGCACAGAAGTGTATCACAGCTGGGAAGGCAGCCAAGAAACCTTGTATTCTCTTCTATCATAGCCAAGTCATAGCTGATGTAACTATTGCAGATTGTCAGACCATTAAAACTAATTAATTTTTAGAACAAATAGCCACTGTCTTTCTGTTTTACTAGAAAGGGTATCAGGATAATTTTGAGGGAGAAAGTTCGAAGAAGATAAAATCTGGACCAAATGTATTGGTTCACTTGAAAATCTGCAATGTTCTTAGAAGAAACTTGAACAATGTACTCTCTTACTAGCTAAGGAATAAGGTAGTATGATCAGAGTCTATTAAAGATAGCGTGTTTTAAAAGCTAGGGTTTTTCCTCATAAGACATCAAGTTTGTTACATTCTGGGTATGAAATTATTAACCGTGAAGAATGCACAAACTGATGGCCAGCCATCCTTTTCCTTTTGGCATATGAATGTACTTTAAATAACACATCCAGATCACTCCAGGCTATTACTAATGCAGTATAACTATACAATGTGAATTATATTTGCATGTTATATGATTACTTAGCAGCAATGAATTTTACAACATAAAAAAACTTTACTACAGTGAATTTGATAATATTAATGACTTGGTACTTACATCAACAATCAGGAAGTCCAGCCAGCACCAGGCATTAGTAAAATATATTTGAAAACCATATGCTACCCATTTTAAAAGCATTTCCAAAATGAAAATATATGTAAAAACTTTGTCAGCATATTCCAGCATGGTCTTGATAGTTTTGCGTTGTTCAATATATATATCTTCAAAAGCCTGTAAGAAAATACTCAGGTATTACTAACATTTCACAGAATATGCATGATAAAATTAAGGAATAAATAACAGAGCTAAGCTTTCACCTTGCCCTTCTTCATGCCCTTATTGTATACATTTTTCATCTTCAACCATACTACAAACACTACGTATTCTGCCCTGTCTGGGGCTGAATATATATATAATATATATCAGATTTTACCAATGAATGAAGTTATAATCTCACAGTGTGAATTTTTATCTTCTGTGGTATTAAGAAACTTTCACATACATGCCAAAAAAAATTCCCCTTTCTTATACGTCTTTTTCCAGGTATGTATATTGCATTATAGAAAGCAGTTAGATTCCATTTCTGTCCTCCATCAATCAGTCTTATGACTAAAATTCAAATTAAAAAGCAATGTATTTGCTAGAAATTACAACTATGCACACTGCTATCGTAGCAAATGTTCAACTTGAGTAAAGCTGGAAAGTTGGCTAATGTAAATCTTTTTGGAAAGTAGTTGTTAGGTTTCATTTGCTGTGGCACTCTTCCTTATCAGGAACAGAATGAAGTAATTATTCTATTTTTTGTTATGGTCTTTCATAATCACAATTCAAGTCATGGGTGAGCCTAGAAGGAATTGAGGACTTAAACCCATACATTTAGCTATATATTCACAGTTAACAACGGTCCTTTGTACTCTAAGCTCTTGATAAACATGCTGAAAACTGGCAGACAGTTCAAACTTTGAGTAGCTACACTGGCTTAAAGAAATTTGCTCCAGTTTTACAGTGGTGAGACAAAAGTATCACTACAAAAATGTGTGTGAAATTTCTCAAAATTTTTAAAGTTTGGGTCAAGTTTCATTCCATCCTGAAATTATGAAATCCAGAGAATTTTATACAGCTCCAAGCAAAACATGTCTTTCTGAAACAAATTTGAATTTTGTCATTGCTTTTAAAGAGATATCTAAATAGTTCAGCATCTGCAATTTTCTTCTACTTACGAGTGCTCCACTGCTGAGGAGAATCATGAATACAATGAAAGTCTCAAACCAGTTGTGCTCAACTATGCCGTAGCAGGTTTTTCTAAGATTCCACCAAGTTTTTCCTTTGCCATCCTCTATACTTACTTGACAACATGGAAATTTCTGCACACAACCTGCATTAGATTAAGAGATATTAGGATCCAAAAGCCAGTTACTTCAAAGTCAATATTTAATGTGGTATCAATATTGTTAGAAGCTTTAGCTAATTATATAAAATGTTTTGAAATTAATCACTGGAATGCTAAATAGGATATCGCATCACATGGGATGCTGAAGATCTGAATTTAGATAACTAATCTGAAGAGAAACCAGACAACAGTAGACATAATTATGGGTAAACTCAATCCAAAATGCATTGATATTTTTGACTGTTAGCCTGTAACTGCACCATTTGTTGCTGGAGTCTCACAAAAATTTATTTGTTCCAAATTTCAAGGGCCTTCTCAAATAACTGAAAAGCATTTTAACAACAGAAAAGTTAATGAAGTTTCTTAGTTACAAGAGGTATGCAGTGGTTGGACAGATAGTTACTCAAAGTGTAGGAAAACCTTGTTTTGCCATCTGATTTCCAGCATTCTAGGCCAGAAACACTTTTGACTATTGAGGTCATAAATGTCCACCAGATTTGAAAGCCTCAAGAACTTAAATATGCCTAGTAATGATGTCATTTTAGTAATACATCTCTTAATCAACAGTTATTTTACAACCTTCTGTAAAACAGGCTTCTGGTTCAAGAGATTCTTCACTTTCAATTTCTGCTTGCTCGCCCTCTCCAGGAGGAGCAATATCAACTGTGCTGCCTTCTGATGAGCTCGATGCATTTAGTTTCTGCAAGTAAAGTTCCACAGAACAATTTTTCTCATTAGACATATATTCTGTAAAAGAATGACACTGAATCAAATCATGCCAGTCTCTGACTTTTGAAGAGTGGTAAACTTACAAATATGCATCACCAAAAGTAAAACCACAGTAATGACATGTATATTGCATAGTTGTCTTTCACAGTTGGTCTTCTCATAGGGAACAAATGAATATAATTTGGCTACTAACCTGATTCACATATCTGACATTTGAAGTATTCTCAGTAGTATTAAAACAGGAGAGCTTGCAAGTACCACACTCTTGAGTTATTTCATATTCTTTACTATTATACTGGATTACATTGAAAATGTGTCAGTTTTTCCAGTGAAATGAACTAACAGAAATCTCCACATATATCTTCATGTCCACTACAGATGGTATTTTCACAAACATACACCTTATCTGGATTAAAAAGTTGTAAATTTAATGGCATTTAACGGCAAATTTCTGCACAATTTAGTTTTTGCAGAAAACACAAATTACCAGTTCTGAAATATCTTCTTTGCACTCCAGTCTCCTGTGCTTATTGTGACCTCCTGATGTCCTTTCCATCCTTCATTTTTCTATCATTCTACTACTTTTTTGTACAGTGAAATACTATTGTCCTTACTACGTAAAAGCACTTCCAGATATGAAAACTGCAAGAGCTGGAGAGTGACATAAACCAACTCAAATCAAGAAACGTTTTACCAAATACATTAAAATTCAGATCAGGTCAAACTGTTTCAGTCATGCAAGACTGCCCATAATTTTGTCCTTTTAAGAAAGCATATTTTGAAAGCATGAACCTGCTAAAGATGCATGCAACTAACGCAAGAATCAGACATAGAATTTGTAACTTGTTTTCAATTGTCAATACTGTTGTGTCTTTAATTGTCTTCATCCAAAATACATTCTCGTTTATTGTGAAATAAGGCTTGTAGTCAGAAAGCAACGTGAACAAAAGCCCATGGCAGTGAAATTCTTCTGATTTATCCCATGTAGCAGTAATTCATAGACATTTAGAGGGGCATGCACAATGCACCTCAAAAATACTTTCAATTGTACAGGTACTGATGTAACAGAAGGGCATTTGATCACTGACTAGAACTGCGGTTTCAACTAAGCAGACCTGTCCATGTCCTTTGACCTTTGGATGAAGGTCATGTATAAAAAGGATGAAGACCTTTCTATACAATTTTGTTGAAAGAAGAGAATGCTTAACACCAACTACTTTTCCCATTCAGTTTTCAAGAGAGAGACATTTTTAAAATATAAACCCCCTCCTACTCTTCAGAGGATTTGAATGATTTTGCAACAAATAATAAGCAATAACTTGTTTTTTGAAAGAGGCGTTTGCATGTATTCTCTTCTTCTTCAGAGCTACTGCTGCAAATTAAAACTTGTTATTTAACTCTTCAGTTACAACCCATTCTCTTCAGGAAAAAGTATTGGGAGCTAAGGGTTTTTTCTGCAAGAAATGAAGTAAATGGCACATATATTTTAATATAGTTTGGTAAGCAATTCTTTCCTCATATTCAACTCTTACATGAGAGGAATAAAGTTTAAAATAAGAATCATGTGTGATGGAAAACTTCAGGGTTAATTTTCAAGAAGTTGCGTTTTGCGCACACATGCAAATGTAGACAATATGGGGTCACACAGACTTCAGGTTACATGGCTGTTGTGACCAAAAATAAAGGACTTGTCTCATAATAGAAAATATTTCTGACAAGTATACAGGTATGAGTTTAAAAACCATTTTTTCCCTTTTTAAATGTCCTGATCTGTCATACATGGAAAATCATGCTGACAAATGTGAAAAGATCTGGATAAATATAGTGAGAACTTGATGTTTCTAATGTTTAGGTCTTGCTTAGTAAGCATGTTAAAATATCATGTTTCATTTTTTCATACAGCACGTCCTGTATGATATCCAAAATTTAGATAGTAAAAAGAGTTACAGCCATATTGGCTCTAAATGAAATAATTTTATTACTGTTCATGTAAATCTATAAGTCTGAAATAAAATATTGTGTAGCTCATATTGTGGGACTATTTTAAATTTCACTTTCTATATTATATTGACAAACCAAAATGCCCAGTAATGTACACTATATTAAGCATTACGAGACACCATCTTATAATCTACACATAAGGCTCTTTAACAAAGGAAATAATACTTGTCAATTAACTCTGGTTTTATATATCATTGCAATACGAAAAAATAAGAAGTCTGAAACCTGTCATTGAAATTATAGGCAGTTTCTTCATTAAATAAAACCCAAAATTGTGAAAATAATTATTTGTCACATTCAAGTTACGAAAATTAAAACTAATTCATGCCCTGATCCATCATCATTAAATCAATTCCTAACTTAACAGTAGCAAGGTAAAGGTTCATAGTAAGCATCAATTATAAATCTGTGAGTGCAAATCAAAAGGCAGCCAAATTTTTAACTTCACCTTCCCATGTAAACTCTGCTGCAGATAGTCCTGTCAGCATAGTTGCTAAAAACCATGTGACAGAAGTGCAATTTATAACCAGTACAAACAAAACCTACTATAATTCTCTTCATTAATTTTCACAAAAAGCAATCTCTTCATTAAACAATCTCAAACAATTGCATTATTAAGGAAAAAAACCTCAGTTAATAAAACTCCTCTTCTTTGCTTCAAGACCCTAAATTAGGAAAGAATCAATACATTTTAAATAAGGTGAGGTTAATGATAATATTTTCCAGCAATAAAACTAATAAGAAGCTCAAGATACAAGATGGATTAGCACAATCTTCTTTTAAGCTCACAGATGTTATTATCAGCCTCTAGAACACACCATGCCCTGTAAATACTTATTTGCATCTTTAATGATGTCACATTTTCCTTTATAAGGAAACATTTGAAAGCAATTGCTTATGATGCAGCATTCTCAAGGCCTGAATCAGCAAAACAACATGCTTGACTAGAGCAGAAGCCTGAGCAATACCGTGGAAATCACACACAAAAATAAAATAAACAGACTACCTCAATGGGATTACATTTTTCTGAAAATAGTATTATAAATGTTATTGTGTAGGATATAACAGAAAAAAATGCTTCATCACTAACCCAAATACTTGATTAATGTATGTATAATCAGCCTCCATACTGTCCTTCCAGAGCAGTGCATCTCTTCTCAACAGCTTCGATCATTAAAACAAGCTTTGACCAACAGCATGTTAATGTGCCCATTTACAAGAAAATGCATTCACTTCAGACCCAGTCTTGCTCTCATTTGATTTTATTCTAAATTTCAATAAGAGCAAGAGCAGGCTACTAAAATTTTGAGCTTTACAAACGGCTTCATGATTCAAGTGGCAATAAAATAAAGGGATTCAGCCATTACAAATTGCCTTTAGTAATTCACCCATGTGGTTTCATCCTTTGAATCTTGAAAACTGCACTGTAATTGAGTGAAAAAATATAAAATCATGGTGATCAATAATTTCAAAGTGATTCTAAACTGACTTTAAGTCTCAGATATTATGATACTTGACTTTTATATAATATGAATAAAATAGCTTTAAAAATAATTTCCCTTAGAGTTTTATTTGATGTTTGAAGCATATCTTGGTTTAAAATTTAGTCAGTAAAATCTGAGAAGCTTCAGAATACACAGCAATATTATTTTCTTTTGGCATCTCTGGGCAATTTAGACTAATATAGGTAGGTCATACTACACTATAATCAATGGTACAAAATGAACCATTTCAGGATTCTTTTGAAGCCAGTGAGACTTCCTGAAGGAAACAGCTTTCAATCCTGCTACAGGACTGAAATCTCATTCCTCCCAAATTTTGATGACTAGTTTTACTAGGATAATTTGATCTCCTGAGTTTCATGTAACTTTGACTCCTATACAATATTTGTTTTCCCCATTCCTGAAGGCTCTGCCAATTATGCATCAGTGGAGGTCATGTTTGCCTATAATGAAGGAAACCACTATGGTAAACACATATGGAGTTTTATAAAAATGATGCTGATTACTCCATAGTCTCTCTAGTTAAGACAAACAAGTCCCTCAACTCATTTACAGAACACTATTGTGAACCACATTCCAAAAATACCACTATTTATGAAGCAATTTAACATTTAAGAAAAGAGTAGTTCTAAAATTATTTGCTTTGAGAGTTTTTAAAGGAGAGTTATTTTCTAATTTTAGCAATTATGAAACTGTTTGATCTGCTTACAGTCTCTAAAACTCAAGATATGCACTGTCCAAATCCATACAGAATGTAGTTTATAGCATTGTGAAGATTTGCATTACAGTGCATTGTAGATTTAAAAGTAGCTAGTCAAATAATTCAAATGTTATTCATTAAGGAGCTGAAGTTGTGGCAGCAATAATTTCATAAATTACTTAACACATTTCACACATTTCATTAAATATTTACATTTATAAGGGCTGAATCAAAAAGGGTTGTTTTTATTTTTTAAAAACTATGCATGCTCCCTTTTTCTTTGGCCTGTTTAGCGTATAACATTCCAGTACTTTTATGATCCATACTTCAAAACTTGAAGAGCATGCAGTTATTGCTAAAAACTGTATTTAAATATTCAGAAAAGTCATTAGCAGAGCTAAAAAAATGTATGTTGGGGTTGCCAATCCCACCTGACCATGCTGTGATGTGAGTCCCATGACTCAGCAGAGAGCAGCTGTGCACATTTCTACTGTCTTGCAATGGATAGGGAAGGTACATAGCTGAAGAGCATGCAGGCCAGTCAAAATCCATTGAAAAGTGATTATATATATATATACATATATATGTATAACTTGCTTAGTTAACCTGTGTGAAAGTGGTGACACGTTGCTCTACCTGGTTAAAAAGCACCAGAGCTGCATTCTTGATTGCTCCAGCTTGGTTTTACCCCTGTGAGAAGTAAGAATGGTAGGTAGTGAAGTTCAAGACACAGGATCACTAGTTTTCCTCTTTTTGGAATCTCTAATT